ACCACGGAAACGCCTCGCTGAAAGCAACTGCGCAGCTTATCAGGGCGTGTGCATCCCAGCGGGTGCCGTGGATCTTAGAGAATCCTGGTAGTTCGTGCGCTTTCAAGACTCCAGTCCCCCAAGTGTTTTTACGACTAGGCTGGTGCCACGAGATAGTATGCGATCAGTGCCAGTACGGCACTCGATGACGTAAACGAACAAAGTTCTTCGTAGGAAATATTTGCGTCGATGATTGTGGGCGCCTTTGCAGGCAGTGTAGGGCCCACGGGGGTCACTGTTCTGGAACAGGAAAATCGCATTGGCATCTCTCGGGTAAGTCTAATGGAGGCATTCACTGGACAGCACTTGCCGCCGAGTGCCCGCGCACGCTGGCGCGGGATCTGGCTTTCACCCCCTCAGCTCCCTGCAGGTCGAAGCTGCTAAATTGCTGTGAGGGCCTTGTCCTCTGCCCCTGACTTCCATAGACGCTGTCTTTCGCTCGCTTTTAAGATCCGCTCTTGGGGTCTGTGAACATCTGGTTTGGGATGGTTCGGGGCGATAGGCGCCCGCTGCGCGAAGACGCTGCCAGTGAGACTCGAGACGCATTCTCCGCTTAGTGAGAGACTAAACATGGGAGTGCGTGCGCAGAAATGTTTGTTGATCACGCTTTGTCGCTCTTTGGTCTATGCTCGTGGCCTTTGGCTCCACAGATCAACCGGCCCTCCCCCCAACCCCTTTTTTTGATATTTCGTTTTATTCTGTGCGTCGGTCCCTCGTCTCACCTGGGGCGATAGGCGCCCGCTGCGCGAAGACGCTGCCAGTGAGACTCGAGACGCATTCTCCGCTTAGCGAGAGACTAAACATGACCCCCCCGGGGGAATCGGGGAATTCGGGGAATTTGAACCGACCCCGCCCCCTCCAAATCGACCGGGCCGGGCTCCCGGGGGAGGGGTTTGGGGAGGGGGGGGATTTCACGCGCCGATGAACCCCAAGGGGTCGGCGGATTCAGTCGCGTGTTTCTGTTTATCCGCTCTGGGTCTTGAGTCCGACCGATTTTTTGCAGAGACGGACGGAGCCAGGTTCAAGAATGGACGCGGTCTTGTTCGCGCCCATTTGGAGCCCGAAACGGGCCATTTGCTTGATGGGGGCGGATAGTTTCAGGATCCAGAATCCGCTTTGGATATTGAAGCGGTCCGTTCTCCTTGAGCAAATGCCCCGTTTCAGGTTCCAAATGGGCGTGAACGGGATTGCGTCTTTTCGCGCCTCTTTCGTCGATTCTTCGGGTTCCCTCCTTCCGCGGGGCATTTGCGCGGGCGGGCGCGGAAACGGACGCGGGCGCGGCAGCCGCAATGGCGCGTTTGAGGGGGGGGGGCCGTGGCTGTTCATCGACCCGTTTGGTTTTGTTCCTTTTCCGCGGGATGCGCGGGCGGGCGCAAACGAGCGCGGGCGCGGCAGCGGCAATGGCGCGATTGGGAGGGGGGCGCGGGAAACCATCGCCTTTCATAGATGTTTCGCGTTTTGTTTTTTTTTCCCCGCGGGTTACGCGGGCGGGCGTGGGAGCGGGCGCGGGCACGGTCGTAATCCACGGGAATGCCCCCAAAGAACCTGAAACCGTGAACGCGGGACGTTCCGAAAACACTTGTGGGGTCACCCTCGAGAACCTTGGGAATCGACTCCCAGGGTTTTCCAAAACGACCCCAGGACCATTGTCAGAAAGCCCCCGCCTACTCGCCACCCAGGAAAAATTGAAACCCGCGCTCCCGCACGCACGCGCGCGCGCCCAAGCCGGGGCGCGCACGCGCACCCACGCGCGCACCCTTGGGATCACCTTCGAAATCCCTGGGAATCGATTCCCAGGGATTTCAAAAGCGAGCCCAGGATCATTCTCGGAATATTCCAAGCGTTAAACCCAGAAGTGGGAGTGCTCCGGGAAAATCACATGTGAAATCATTTTCGGAATTGTTGACGCTTCGCGTATCCCCACCAGCGGGGTCCGCGTGATGCCCTCTTTTGCTGACACACGCTCAGCGGCTGGGCTCGCGTTCGGTTCGCTTCCACCCGCGGGCTGAACCGTGGCCGTCTCTTTCTAATTATCTGCAGGTGCACTCTGCGCGATGTCGCGCCAATTATCTGTTGCTGTGCCCCAGCCTCGGTCACACCGCCCTCTGGACTTCTCCTCGCGGGCCGCGATTCAAAAAAAATATCCCCACCAACCCATCCAGAAACGATGCTCAGGGGAGTTGAGGTGATCAGGGAAGCCGGGGAACATGCAGAATAACAAAGGGCGGGGGGAGCTGCCACAGACCCCGAGAGGGGGAGGATGGAAGAGGAATCGTCGTCGTTGGAGGACGAGGAGGAGGAGGAAGAGGAAGAGGAGGAGGAGGAGGAGGAGGAGAATGATGAGGATATGGGGTAGGGCGAGGACGAGGAGGACGAGAAGGAGGAGAAGGAGCAGAGGGAGGAGAAGGAGGAGAAGGAGGAGAAGGACGAGGAGGGGGAGGAGGAGGAGGAGGAGGAGGAGGAGGAGGAGGGAGGAAGAGGAAGAGGTGGTTGAGGAAGAGGAAGAGGAATAGGACGGCGAACCGAAGAGCCAGAAGCGTCTTGAATGCCTTTTCGGGAATCCTCTTGAGGCTTCTTGGGGGTCTCTTGGGAGCCTCTTGGAGGCCTCTTGGGCGCCTCTTGGGGACGTCTTGGCACCTCTTGGGGCGCTTTTGGGGGCTGTAGGGGCGCTCTTGAGGCCATCTTGGAGGGAGTCGATCAAGCAAGAGGGGAGCTCCAATTAGCCTCCCCCCTCGGGAGCCCCATAAATCGCCTCTTGGGCCCCTCTTGGAGCGCTCTTGGAGCGCTTTTGGGGCTGTCTTGGGGCTCTCTTGCGCCTCTCGTGGGGCCCTTTTGGGCCATCTTGAAGCCATATTGAGGCCTCGGATGTCCATCGTAAGCGAAAAGGCGAGAAAGCAACAAACATTGTTTGTCCTTAGGTTCTGGGACGATTTTGGCCTCGTCGGGGCCTCCTTAGGGAGCTCTTTGGCCACTTGGAGCCGTCTTGGGATCGTCTTGGGGCCTCTTGGAGCATCTTGGGAGCCATCGTGAGCGATCTTGCGCTATCTTGAGCCATCTTGGAGCTCATCTTGGGCTCTCTGAGGCGCTTTTGAAGCCATCTTTGGCCATCTTGGACGCTCCAACGCGCCGCGGCCCCCCCCCGTCCAGGTCCAGGGAAGGGGGTAGGGGGAGGGGTAAACCCCTCCCCAAGGGGGAAGAGGGAGGGGTGGAAGAGGATCTGCTCTAGACCACCTACGCCCAGAGGGCTGGTGGGATTTATCGGCTTCTTCAGATTTCTTGGGCAATACCATGGTCAGTTCCAAATCGTCCCCATCTGCGGGAAAGCCAAGGAAACCTGATATTCAGAATATGGAAGAATCCGGGGGAGGGGAACCTTTTTGGAGTCACCTTTGAAATCCCTGGGAATCGATTCCAAGGGATTCCTAAAGTATTGGTTTAGACGGGGCGCGCGGGGGGAAACGTCTCTTACCTCCCTTGGAATCGATTCCAAGGAATCAAGAGTGGCGATCTCAGGCGATGCCCTCTCGGGCCCCAGACGGCCCCAAAGGGGCCCCAAATCGGCGGCGAGCGAGGGGGGGAAGTGCGAAGGAGAGGGCCTTTTCAGAAGGCGGGACTCCTCAGAAGCCCTCGCGCCCTCTGGGAGGTGTCCTCTGTCTTCGGGGGGAAGGCTTAGGCAGCTTCTCAGAAGGCCAGGGGACTTCCGAACCTTCTGAGAAGGCCTTCTCCTTCTCACTTCCCCCCCAGGCTCGCCCCGCCTAGAATCCCTCTCGCAACCGTCCTGGGGCCCAGCGGGGGCCCGCTGTGCTCTTCTTATGCACGGCGCGAGGAGGTCAAAGATGCCCTACAGTGACCGCGGAGCAGCGCAGAACATGCGTTTTCGGGTGTCCGCGCGGACGTCCGAGCGCGTCTTGCTTTCCCCCAAGGTCGGCGGCACGCAGGGGGGGGGGAAGTGAGAGAGGCAGGCCTCCTCGGAAGGCGGCGGGGCTTTTCAGAACCGTCGGAGGAGCCCCGTGCGGCTTCGCTGGAGACCTGGGGAGCTCCTCGGGAGGCCCGGAAGCCTCCTGAGCCTTCCTGCGACGGCGCCCCGCCCCCCTCTCTGCCCGTCCCCCCTGTCGTGGGCAAACAACATGTATTTTTAGGCGCGGCCTCGCGGGCTGGGCCCCTGGGCTGCGACCCCGCGGATACGGAGCGTTTTTTCGCGACTTCCCGCGCGGAGCGCATCCGTGCGTCCGCGTACGTATCCCCGGGATCGCGCCCCGCGGGGGGTTGATTGGGATGGTTGGGAAAGGGGGACTGAGGAGGAGGAAGGATGACGGGGAGGAGAAGGAGGAGGTGGCAGAGGGGGGGAGGGGGAGGAGGAGGAGGAGAGGAGGAGGAGGAAGAGGAGGAGGAGGGAGGAGGAGGAGGAGGAGGAGGAGGAGGAGAAGGAGGAGGAGGGGGGGAGGAGGAGGAGGAGGAGGAGGAGGAGGAGGAAGAGGGGGAGGAGGAGGAGGAGGAGGAGGAGGAGAGGGAGGAGGAGGAGGAGGAGGAGGGGGATGATGATGATGATGATGATGATGATGATGATGATGATGATGATGATGATGATGATGATGATGATGATGATGATGATGATGATGATGATGATGATGATGATGATGATGCTGATGATGATGATGATGATGATGATGATGATGATGATGGAGAAGAGGAGGAGGAGGAGGAGGGAGGAGGAGGAGAGGAGGAGGAGGAGGAGGAGAGGAGGAGGAGGAGGAGGAGGAGGAGAGGGAGGAGGGGAGGAGGAGGAGGAGGGAGGAGGAGGAAGAAGAAGAAGAAGCATAAGCAGAAGAAGAAGAGGAGGAGGAGGAGGAGGGGGAGGAGGAGGAGGAGGGGGGAGGGGGAGGGGAGGGGGAGGGGGAGGACAGGATCTGTATCATGATGATGTGTTCGCCGCTCGTGACCCTGGGAACGCCGACGAAGAGGGGGAGCTGGCGGCCAAGGAGCGCGGCCTCTCGGAGGAGCGGGACCAGGTGTCAGGGGAGGACAGATCATCTCGACCCCCAGTGAAGGCGCGCTCGTGAGTCGGCGGGCACTCGGCCTTCGTCGGGCGCGAATACCATACACACAGCCACAAGCACAAACACAAAACACATACACACACACTCAAACACACACAAGCACAGAGACAAGCACCATCACACACAAGCACACACAACACACAAACACTAACACAAACACACAACACATAAACACAAACCCAAGCACAAGCACTATAGCACAACAGCACAAACACAAACACAAACAAGCATGTGCGCACACGCATACACAACACACACAACACACACACACACGACACAACACAGCACACATACACAAACACAACACACAACACACAACACACAACACACACAACACACAACACACAACATACATACACAACACACAACACGCACAACACACAACACACATACCCGACACACACACACACAACACACACACACACCACACAACACACACACAACACACACACACACGTCTCCGCAGCCCCTTCTCCGAATACACGTCTGGGAGTACGGAAGTACGGCGCAAGCCCTGGCAGCGGGTTGCTGGACGTGGCCCGCCGCGGCGCCGATCCCCGCAGCCGGCGTTCACGGAGCAGTCCTCGGCGTTTACGCAGCACCCCTGCCCTGCTCGATCCGCCCCCTCCAGATGCGCTTTTACCCGAGGGCTTTTCTTGTCGGGGTTCTGTGGAGATCGTGGCGCGCGCACACCACAAATTAATGGACGTCCTGAGTCTCAGGCAGGACTGGACTTCGGCTGTGGTTTGTTTCTGCAGGGCTTTGGGTGGCTTTGCTGTGGAGATCGCGACGCTCGCACACCAAAAAACGAGTGGGCGTCCTGGGGCCTCCGGGCCTGGTCTCTCGTGGCAGGTCCCCTGTGGACGGGCCTCCGCTGCGGGGCGGGTGGCTGGGCCCTCCGAGGTGGCGCAGCTCTGCGCCGAGGCGGAGCGGCTGCAGGCCCGAGGGGACGAGGCGCTCGCGCGCCTCGAGGGCCAGCGGCTGGAGGCCGACGGCCTCCGAGAGCAGCTGGCGGCGGCCAGCCGGCAGCAGGAGGACCGCCTCCCCTCGGGCGTCCTCCTCCTCCTCCCTATCCTCCTCCTTATCCTCCTCCTTATCCTCCTCCTCCTCCCTATCCTCCTCCTTTTCATAGTCGTCGCGTTGTCCGAAGAAGCGCCGGCTGGCTCTGAGCAGGGGAGGAAGAACCACCCGGGCGTTCGTCAAATGGCCCCTGGGCATTTGCTGAACCGCCCTGCCCTTTTTGATCCTTCTTGAGGCGCGTTTACTGACGGCTTCGCGTGTGGGGAGGACCGCCTCCCCTCGGGCGTCCTCCTTGTCCTCCTCCTCCTCCTCCTCGTCCTCCTCCTCCTCCTCTTCTTCTTCGTCTTGTTATTATTATTATTATGATTATTATTATTACTATTACTATTAGTATTATTATCATTATTAGTGTTATTAATATGATTATTAGTATGAATAATCATAAGTATTTTTGTTGTTATTATTATTATTAACATTATTATTATTTTTATTTGTATTATTATGTTATTATTATTATGTTTATTATTATTATTCCTCCTCCTCCTCCCTATCCTCCTCCTTTTCGTATCCCTCGCGTCGCGTCGCCCGAAGAAGCGCAGGCTGGGGCTGCTCTCTATCTACGTCTACGGCGCGTGGGTCAGCGATGCGTCCCGCTCCCGTGCAGACTCGGCGCGTTCCGTGGCCAGATCGGTCGGCACCGGCGCCGTGTGTTGGGGGGTCACTTCCCCGATTCACGGCTCCTCCTCTTTCTCCTCTTCCTCGTCCTCCCTTCCTCCTCCTCCTCCTCCTCCTCTTCTCGTCCCCTCCTGCTCCTCCTCCTGCTCCTCCTCCTCCCTCCTCTCCTCCTCCTCCTCCTCCTCCCTCCTCCCTCCTCCTCCTCCTCCCTCCTCTCCTCCTCCTCCTCCTCCTCCCTCCTCCTCCTCCTCCTCCTCCTCCTCCTCCTCGGCCAGATCAGGCGGCACCAGTGTCATCTGTGTGTGTGTGTGTGTGGGGGGGGGGGGGTCGCTTCTCCGATTCACGGCTCTGGCGCCGACGCGCCAGATCCACGGAACCCCAAATCCACGTGGGCGTTTGCCCGAGTCATGGGGGGACGATACTTCGATACCGTGCACCGTTCGTGCCCCTTTCGGGCCCCAGAGGGCCTCAAAGGGGCCCCAAGTCGGCGGCGAGCGAAGGGGGGGGAAGTGCGAATGAGAAGGCCTTCTCAGAAGGCGGCGGGACTTCTCAGAAGCCCTCGCGCCTTTGAGAGGTTTTCTCTGTCTTCGGGGGGAAGACTTAGAAAGCTTTTCAGAAGGCCAGGGGACTTCCGAGCCTTCTGAGAAGGCCTTCTCCTTCTCACTTCCCCCAGGCTCGCCGCCAAGAATCCCCCTCGTGACGGTCCTGGGACCCAGCGGGGGGCCCCAGAGGCAGAACATTGAAATTGCCGTTGCGACTTCGGGGAAGGCTTCGAACATTTCTCAGAAGGCTGGCGGACTTTCGAGCCTGCTGAGAAGGCCCGCCCCTGCTCACTTCCCCCCAGGGCTCGCCGCCGACAAAAGCGGACGGGAGGTGCACGTTTCTTCGCCCCCCCACTCAGCATCGCCCTCCCATGAGGCGACGCCAGGTCCCACCGGCTCGAAGAACAGAAAACGGCATGCAGTCAACCATGGTAGTAAAGGCTAATTACCCCTGCATCTTTGCCACTTCGGTATTCGGCATCCTTCGGCATTATGTTGCGCTCCGCACGGAAAACGTCAACATGGCGTTCCAAGTCTTATGTCGGGCTTGTCCCTTTACAGGGGGATTTTCTACGAAAAACACAAAAAAATACCCCCAAAATAATAACAAATAGTTAAAACATAGTCTGGGGACTATTGTTTGCGTATCTTTTGACCTTTTTGGGGTATTTTGTGGGTATGCTTTATTTCTCGTCGAAAATCCCCTTGTATGGGGGACAGGCCCCACATAATCCAAGTCCCTTGCATCCCTACCGCGCATCCTTACTATCCTGGCCGAGCATAGACGTGACTCGTCGACGGTCCGCGCGCCCCTGGAGGGCTCCGCGTGCTGGTGGGGGGTGGCTCCAGCGCAGAGCCCAGACGTCCGCGCGAGCTGCTGAAAGTTTCTGCTCGTGTTGCTTTTTGTTTGTGTAGTTTTTTGTTTGTGTAGTGTCGAAAGTTGATGTTTGTGTAGAACGTTCATGTTTGTGTAGAAAGTTGATGTGTTTGTGTGTGTATGTTTGTGTTGGAAGCTTATGCTTGTGTAGTTTTTGTTTGCCGCCTCCATTCAGGGGTAACGATAGGGGGGAGAGGCATAAGGGGGGGATGCATCGACACCCAATCGCCCAGGGAGGTGCGGATTCACTACCGGAGGCCTATCGCCGATCCATCGGCGATGCATCGCCGATTCCAGGTGGGTGTTTCCCCCCCTATCCCTCTCCCGCCCTACTGTTGCCCCTCAGTCATGAGGGGGTATGTGAAGTCCTTGGGGCCGGGACGGTGTGGGCATAGGCCGGCCGCATGAGGTGGCCCACCACCAAAAAGAAACATCATAGCCTCTACGCTGGCACACAAGACTGATCCGTTGACAGACCCAATCCATGTTCCCTCCATTGGCATCAGGTTTATGCGGAGAGGCAGCATGCTCTTCCCTCGCGTCGTGAAAAAAGCGACGCATGTTTTTGTGTATGTTCTGCCTCTGGAGGTCCTCGCTGGGCGGGGCTAGGACAAGGACACATCAGTTCCAGAGCGTTCCAGAACGCTCTTGGAGTGACCCGGAGCGCTCTGAGACGAACTCGGCGCCCTATACATCGCTCAGAGTCGCCGGATCTCTGAGGTTTATGATTTGTCCCTGTCCGATTTTGTCCTCGTCTTGGCTTCGTCTTAGTGAACGAAACGACTCAGCATGAAAAGCCGGTCCCGGGGAACGGGCCCCAGAGCCAAGGGGAGCCACGTTGCAAACAAAAGTCACTACGTCGGACTTGTGGGGAGCGGGTTGCTGAGGATCGCTATGCATTGAAGAGGAGATCAGACGGGGCTAGGACGAGGACAAGTCCGTTTCAGGGCGCTCAGGAACGCGAGCGTTCCGGAGCGCTCTGAAAAGGCCGCGGCTCTCGATGCATCTTCCCGAGCCGCCGGATCTCAGAGATTCTCGATTTTTCCTCACCCGACGTTACCCATCGGTCGTTGAAAGTAGGTATTTTTGGATTCCCAGATTCCAATCTGTTTTCAGCGCCCTCCTACTTCAAGAGTTCAGTGGTTCTCCCTCTTCCCTCCTCTTCAGGAGGCGGGCTGAAATCCAAACTATTTCCAACGCCTTCCTGCTTCATGTTTCTACCCATTTCTTCCGACCGATGGGTATCCTCGTTCTGGCCTCGTCTTCGAAGAGAGCGGCGAGCATGATCTCCTGAGCTCCGCGCGGACGTCGTGGGTCGTCGAAGGACCCCCCCCTCCCTGGCGCGGGGGGGCCCCGCGCCCCCCCCCCGCAGAAGTCCGCGCGGACGTCCGAGCGTGTTATTCTGCAGCTCTCCTCCCGATCAACCAGGTCGCTTGGCATCGGCGAGGGCCATCGAGGAGCATCTGGGCTTAGGTCAGGCATGTCCCTCCTACAGGAGGAAGATTCAAAGATAGTCAAAAGGTAGTCCAGGGACAATTTTGGACTTGTTTTGACTCTCTTGGACCCTTTTCTGGCCCTTTTTACCTAACAGCGAAGACTGATAGGTTTCTAGTAGTGTCAAAAGAGAGCATCTTGACTCCCCAGGGGGGTCTGGGCAGGATCCGGGGAGAATCCGCGGAAGTCGTTTTCAGCAAACAGTTACACACTTCGTGGTCTTCGAGGTCCCAGAACTCCATGCCCGGGCCACATTCTGAATGCCCGGAGCCAACTGTAGGCCACTTCGTGGTCTTCGAATTCCCAGAACTCCATTCCTGGGCATGATTTGGAAGGCTCGGAGCCAACTGTAGGCCACTTCGTGGTCTTCGAATTCCCAGAATTCCACTCGTGGGCATGATTTTGACTGCCCGGAGCCAACTGTAGGCCACTTCGTGGTCTTCGAATTCCCAGAACTCCATTCCTGGGCATGATTTGGAATGCTCGGAGCCAACTGTAGGCCACTTCGTGGTCTTCGAGTTCCCAGAATTCCATTCCCGGGCCACATTTTCAATGCCCGGAGCCAATTGTAGGAGGATCAGGGGCAAGAGCACGAGGAGGAGGAGGACGAGCACGAGGAGGAGGAGGAGGAGCAGGAGAAGGAGGACGAGCAGGAGGAGGAGGAGGAGGACGAGGACTCCTACATGCGAGGACGAGCAGGAGGACGAGCGACTGCGAGGACTCCAGAATTCTACACCAGGATTCCTACATGAATCTCAAGGGCAATGCTTCCAGATATGCTTGTACACATCGCTGTTAGGTTGATTTGCCGGGATAATCTTTTCGTCCAGAATCCGCCTGTAGGAGGACAGGCCCGACTAACTCTGGGCCCTCCTGCGAGAAAATACAGTCGGGGCGCTGAAGAAGGAGCTCTTTTCGTTGGCGAGGGGCTCCGTGCTCCTGAACTGTTGCGCAGTTTGCCTCAGGTTGTCCTCAGGTGTTCGATGGGAGGTCGAAGTTTAACTTCTGGGGAAAAGGAGCCTCGTTCCTCATTCAGGGTTCCTTAGGTCAGCGCCCCGACTGTACACTAAAGTCGGGCAAAAATAGTCTAGGGACGATTTTCCTAGTATTGTTTGCCATGCTTGAATATGTTCTGGGCCTGTTTTAACATGTTGTCGAACATCCGCCTGTAGGGGGGCATGCCCGACCTAACTGTACACGCACGAGGCCGACAACTGCACGGGGAGTGGGCGCCCGAGCGATGGCGAGGCCGCCCCCCCCCTGGGGAGGGGCGTGGAAGCACACTTGCGCGCCGCGGCCTGGGCTGGGGAGCCAACACTGGAAGTGAACTCTCTCGGGTGTTGCTAGAAGTGCCCCTGGCCCAAGGTGCCCCCAGGATTTCCAAGGAGGCCCCCACGGCCTCCAGAGCACCCCTCACGAGGCCCAGAGGGCCCAAGGGGGCTCCGAAATTGAGCGGAAAGCTGGGGGCACCTCGGGCCAGGGGCACTTCTAGCAACACCGGACTCTCAAGCTTTCGCCAGGCCCGCGCAGTGTCCACAAGAGCAAGAGTGCAGCTGAGCACAGGAGGGCGTGCAGGCAGTTGCGGAGAGCTCGGGACCTGCAGAGCATTGACGGCGCGACCGCCACATCTGCAAGTGGCCCGGGAGCCCGCGCGCCATGCTCACGAGCGTTGCTCCACCCCGGCGGGCGTGGGCAGGGGGCGCGCACACTTGCGCTGGAGGCGACGATGAGGGCGAATAGCCCAGGGGGGGGGGGGCAATACATGTATCCAGGGGTGCCGATGATCTCTGTCTTCGACAAGGCTCGCGGGCGAATGCGTGTAATGCCCGCCCCTGGGCTATTCGCCTCTATCGTCGCCGCCGATTGCCCGTCGCGGCCTGGGCCCGGGAGCCGCCCTCCTCCGGGAGGGGGGGCGGCGTGGGTGCGCGCAGGTGGCCGTGCGTCGCGGGTGTGCGGTGCGCGGGGGCCGTCGTTCTCTCATGCCCTGCTCTGCCGATCAGCGCGGGCTCTCCCCCCCCGGCGTGTGCATTTTTTATCGGCACGGGCCATCGAGGAGCATTTGTGTTCACGTTGCGAAAAAATACACGCACGAATCCGGCAAACGCACAGGGAATGGACGTCCAAGCGATGGCGAGTCTCCCCCCCTCCTCCATGGAGTAGGTCTTGGCTGTTTCTCGCGCTTGTCTCAGGCAGGCGGAGTCTCCCCCATGGGTCGGAGGTTGGTAGAACTCCTACCCTGACACGTCGATTAAGGAATTGGCAGTTTTCGGTTCGCGAGAGGGCGTCGCGGCCGTCATTTTTGCGGGTCCAGGTCCGTCGGTTTCGGTTCCAGGCCGTTTTCATTAAGGGGAGGTTTACTAAGGGAGGTTTGTCCAACGCCGAATAGGATGCATTTGGTAAACAGTCGCATCAAGCAGAGGTCTGGAGCCAGACCCCCCCCCTCCCCCCCTTCCGCCCAATGTTGACACGCCGAAGACGAAGAAAACGTTCACGAGCTAAGCGACCCAGACGAAATATGGTTGTGAAGAGGAGCGGGTCTGGACGTCGTTCGCCGTTTTCTGCCTCCACGGGCCTCTTGGGGAGAGCCTCGGAGTCCAGGCCCCGTCCTGCTCGGGGCCCCTCCTTGCCCCGCGGCAGCGGGAGGACGTCTCGCAGGAGGAGGTGGCGAAACTGCGCGCGGACGTGGAGAAGGGCAAGGCGGTCGCCCGCAAGATCCACGAGAAGTCCCAGGATATTTGTTATTCCAACCTGCCGTTGGTTTCTTGTTTGGGGTAGAGCATCGCGGCCTGCAGCCTTCCTCCTCACGCCTACCTCCTGTTCTCGTTCTCTCCCCTTTCCTCCTTTCTCCTCCTCTCTTCCTACTACCTCCTACTCATCTCTTTAGTTATGGTGCCTACTGTATCCTAGTTGCGGTGTGCCGAAACTGTTGCCAACTTCGAAGGCTGCTGGTGGGCCCAGCGCAGTGACGTCACATGGGGATTCAGATTTATCAGACCTCGCCTTCCCTGGGGGGCTGAGAACTGCGAAACCGTCGCCACTTTCGAGGGCTGCTGGTGGGCCCATCGCAGTGACCTCATACGGGGATCTCACATCAGACCTCGCCTTTTCTGGGGGGCTGCGAACTGCGAGACCGTCGCCATTTTCGAGGGGATCTCACGTCAGACCTCGCCTTCCCTTGGGGGCTGCGAACTGCGAGACTGTCGCCACTTTCGAGAGCTTCTGGTGGGCTCAGTGCAGTGACGCCATGCGGAGATTCAGATTCGACCTAGGCGGGGGGAGGAAGAAATGATCGTGCGACGTACACGCCCCGTCTGCACCAAGCGACACGGGGAGGCGGCCCAAAAGCTTGCATGGACAGCAGCCGCTCGGGAGGCAGGGCGGCAGGCGGGGGAGAGGGGGGGAGAGGAGGCAGCAGAGCTCTGCTTTAGAACGAGGGCCCGACGCAGGAGGGCCGGGAGCGAAAACATCTCCAGGAGGCCGTCGCGGAGCTCAAGAGGCAGCTCGACGAGCAGCGCGAGGAGCTCGCCCGGTCGGCTGGCGCGCAGGAGGAGGCAGTGGCCGCGCTGCGGGCGCGGCTCGAGGGAGCGCAGGCCGACGCGGCGGCCGCCGAGGGCGACGCGAGCAGGCTCTGGGATCAAGTCGGGCCTGTCCCTCTATAGGAGGGCTATTCAAAGGTAGTCAAAAAATAGTCTGGGGGCGATATTTTGACGACTGTTGACAACTTTTGAGTATTTGTTTGACAGTATCTAATTGTTCGTCCATAAACCGCCAGTAGGGGGACATGCCCGACCTAACTGTAGGAGCAGGAAGCGCGCCACCGCCACCATGGCGTCGTTTTCTTATGCCTTGTTTTGCCGATCGGCGCGGGCCCTCGCACCCCCTCTCTCCCCCCCCTATAGATCGGAGGTTGATAGACCTCCTACCCTGACACGCCGATAGGCGAATTGGCCGTTTTCGGTTCGCGAGAGGGCGTCGCGGCCGTCATTTTTCTGGGTCCAGGTCCGTCGGTTTCGGTCCTATGCCATTTTCACTAAAGGGTGGTTTACTAAAGGGAGGTCTGTCCACCGCCGAGAGTAGATATTGGCTGTTTTGGGCGCCGGTTTCGAGCAGGCGGAGCCTCTCCCCCAAAGGACGCACCGCTGCAAACAGTCGCATTAAGCACGGGTCCAGAGCCAGAACCCCCCCCTCGCCCCCCTTTTAGCCCAATGTCGAAACGCCGAATAAGAAAACGCTCGCCTGTCAGAGGAGGAAAGGATACGGATACCGCTACCCTCGCCCCGTTTTCGCAAGTTTGGGCCTCCTGGGAGGCCCTCGTCGCCTGAAGATTCTGGTCAGAAGGCATCCCGGGAGACCCGCCGGGAGAGGTCCCAGGCGTAGCGGTATCGGTGCCCGTGGGTTCCCTGATCTGGGGGGCTTCAGGCGAGGCAGCGGCGGGCCGCCGGTCAACGGCACGCGCACACCCACAAAGACATTATGTGGCGGTCGCGGCCTCGCGCGCGGCAGCGAGGCGGTTCAAGTCGAAAGCGGCGTGAGCGGGCGCGCGCGGCCGGGCCCTCAAGTGGGATCGCGCTGGATCACCACTTTTGCCACTATGGCGGTTGGCATGATGTCCCGCGAGAGTGCCCGAAAGGATCTACACCACCACCACCACGCTTGACCACCCTCTGCCTCCATCCTCCAGGTGGTGGTAGTGGTGCGTTTCCTTTTCCCAAGGCTGAGGCAGGAGGCGGCGGCCATGCAGGCCGACCTGGAGCTCAGGGGCAGCGCTTTCGGTTTTCGGCGGTTCTCGTCGACCGCGCCAGGGGGGGATGAGTTTTCGGGCGTGGTCGTCGGTTCTCGGCGGTCTTCCAGCCTCGGGGTTCATTCCAGCAGCTGCGCCTCGCCAAAGACCGGATCGTCCCTAACGGCCGCCAGCGACCCGAGCTATGACCCGAGAACCCGACGACGAGGATCAGTAGGAGAGATAGGCTCAGGGGGGAGGCACCTGCCCACGATCGCCCACTGATGGCCAATAGGGGCCCGATACGGTAGCCCGTCCCGTCCAGGAGCGCACGCTTCTGCCACCAGGGTCCTCTCGCCGATCTTTGTCGGCGACGCACCGCCTAGTGCACGTCGGTGCCTCCCCCCGTGAGCTGGCCCCGCCGTGGAGGAGGAGGAGGGGAAGGGGGAGGGAAGGAGGGGGAGGGGGACGGGGAGGGGGAGGGAGCAAGCTAGGTGCGCTCGCGTCATATCTGACATCCTACCCCTACCTCCCACGCCTTACCATGGCGTAGATCCCCTCTCTACTCGCACAGTCGGATGTTGAGCAGGGCAATGATCCCGAAAGGGTACGCGATGCATTGTAGCGCACGGCATGGCATAGCGTAGAAGAGCACCACAAAGCGTAGTATGTCACAGCATGGCGTGGTGTGGCGTAGTGAAGAATTGCATCACAAAGTTTTGCAACGCAAAGCATGGCATCGCACAGCGGCCCCGAACATAACATTGCATAGCATGGCGTTGAAGATCAAAGCGTAGCATGGCATAGCATGGCATGGCACTTACGCACTGGATATGACAGCTGCAGCTGAAGGCTTGGCATCGCGCAGCGGAACGCAACCTAGCATTGCATTGCATGCCGTGGCATGGCACGGGAAATGACGCCAGCGCTGCAGCGGGAACACGATTCGGAACGAGCGGAAGTGCGGAAATGAGGCCAGCGCTGCAGCGGGAGCACGATTCGGAACGAGCGGAAACCCGAAAATGAAGCCCGCGCCTCAGCGAGAGCATCATTTTGACAAAAACCCAAGCGAAAACCCAACTCCGGGTAATCCTGCGTAACAAACAAGACGCGGAGGGGTGCCTGCTATCTTCCGCAAGCCATCAGGGGATGGAGGAGAGTGTCGAAACCAATTGCCCTAGCCAGCTCAACCTGCCAACCCGTCCAACCAGCCAGCCAGCCCACCCAGCCACCCCGCCACCTAGCCAACCCGTCAGCCAACCAGCCCAGCCGCCCACCCCGTCATCCCGCCAACCAGCCGATCCCCTCCGCCTGTTCTCCGTGCCCAACCAGCCACCCTGCCAACCCGCCCTCCCCCGCCGCCTACCCTCCGTCACCGCCGAGAGGGGGGGGGAAGTGTTTCTTACCAGCGAAAACCAGAAAACTAGCCCTCCCGGGGACCGGCGGGACAGCGGGGAGGGGGCAAATCGCACTGTACTATGCAGGACCGGGAATGGCGGGGGGGGGGCCCGGCACGGTTTTGGGCCTCAAGTGTGTAATTGTTGTCATTTTGCAACGTCCACCGCGCCCTCTTTCTCAATGGGAAGGCTCTCATCCTTGAAACTGTCGCCAATTTTGAGGCCCCGCGCGTGGTTTCTTAGAGAGCCGCCAAGAGGCCCCAGGAGGTTTCAGGAGGCATCAGGAAACTCCAGGAGGCTTCAGGACGTCCCCGGAGGCCGGGGGAATCCTAAGAGGCTCCAGGACGCTCCAGGAGGTCCCAGGATGCCCCGCGAGGTCCCACAAGGCCCCAGGAGGTCCCATCACGCTCCGGGCGTATCCTGAACGACCCAAAAGTTCCAGAACGCTGCGGACGCCCCTGGAGGGCTGAGGATACCCTAGGAGAGCCCAGGAGGTTTCAAGAGGCCGCAGGAAGTCCCCAGAGGTTGCTATCCCAGGAGGCCCCCGGGATTACCAGGAGGCTCCATGAGGTCCCATGGTCCATCACGCCCGAGGTAGGGAGGGGGAGGCGGAGGAGGAGGAGGACGTGGAGGAGGAGGAGGAGGACAAGGAAAAGGAGGAGGAGGAGGACGAGGAGAAGGATGAGGAGGAGGACGAGCATGATGAGGAAAGGATGAGGAGGACAGGATGTGACAGGCGTGACGCCCCAGCAAATACACTTGGTCCAATTGGTTTCTACCCCCGCGAGGGGCGTTACATGGTATTCATATCGTGTAAGTGTTGAGGGAGGGGGAGGGGGAGGGGAGGGGGAGGGGGAGGGGGAGGAGAAGGGGGAGGGGGAGGGGGAGGAGGAGGAGGAGGAGGAGGAAGAGGAGGAGGAGCTTCGCGGTCAGAGTTGCCTCGTCGACCCGTGGGCGATGTACCGCCTGCTGCAGGCCGATGCTTCCCCCCGGGAGCTGGTCCCCCGCTCCTCGTCCTCGAAGGCCTTCTGTGCACCGCCACCGTCTGCTTCTGGCCCTGGCCGGGGGGCGCACACGCCATGCCAGGGCCCAGGCTGGCCCTGGCCGGGAGGGGTGGTGTGGTATGTATCAAGCAGTGGCGAAGTGCCCTGGCTCGCTCATAGTCCTACCAACTACCAAACAATGTTCTAAGAACCTCTGGTGGTTCCCACGAAATGTTCTTAGAACATTTCTGGCTGAGACTGTCTTGTTTTTGCACATCGGGTTTATGTTCTAAGATCATCATTTGCGTTCTTAGAAAATTTTGGGATTCTAAACACATGTCGTGGCAGGACTACCGAACTGCTGGAACGGTCGGTCCCCGCTCAAATGTAGATGCTTTCTGTCACCGAGCGCGTTCCACTACTCGCAAAGTGCCCACTCGCAAGCGTCAAAAAGCACTTGTCCTCCTCGGTGTAAAAACGAGCGCAAATCCGCCGCGGCAGAGTCAGGCCAGGTGCGAGCAGCTGGTCCGCGAGCAGTGGAACGCGCCTGTCGATTCTGCGCAGATCGCTCCTTCCCCGAGGAGCACCTCCGGGGCAGGGGTGCGGAGGAGGTGCAGCGCTGGGAGCGGCGTGCGGAGCAGGCGCAGCAGGCGCAGGCGGCGCTCGCGGCGCGGGCGGAGGAGGCCGAGGCCAAGGTGGCGCACTGGCAGAAGGAGGCGGAGAGGCCTTCGGAGAGGAGGAATCAGCTCTTCTGGCGATGTTTGGTTTCGCCGATCGGCGCGGGCCCCGAGTCCCCCATCAGCCCCTCCCCCCTCCCCTCCCCCCCCATGGGCCAGATCTCGACCGCTTTGGGCGACTGGCTTCTGGCGGCTGGTCAGCACCCCCGCCCCCCCTCCGGCTTGTTTGCGCGACGGGTCAAAGCAGATCGACTAAGCATTGGCCCAGGCTCAGACCCCCACCCCTCCCCCACCCTGCAGCCAAATGCTGAAACCCATGATTAAAAACACGCTTACGTTCCCAATTCTAAAATGTTGGAGGTCCGCGCAGCATCGCCGCGAAGAATTAGGTCACCCCCAGGGGCGCTCCAGGAGGGCGGGGGGGCCCAGCGCCGATGCAAGAAATCCGCGCGGATCTCCGCACTCGAGGAAGCGCAAGGATTAGCAGCAGATCCCGCTTCCATGCAGAATCGGCTCGCTCGGTCGCCCAATCGGGCGGCCTTCTGTCTCCTGGGCTATACTTTCCCAGATGCGTGGACCTGGCGCCCACGCGCGAACTCACCTGATCCGCAGTCCGCGTTAAGAGTGTGCCCGACGCACGTCTACCCAGACATGCGGCGTCGTGATTTCTTCAGGACGGCGTCCATCGAAGTCCCGACCCTTTCCCCGGGACCGGTTTTTCGTCCTGAATCGTTGTTTGAGGCCCGGCGAGGGCCCCCTGGGGCCGAAAGTACGCAAGAACCTCCCGCCCTGATTTTTTGCGACGCGATCATGTCTGGGTGGGTTTGTGCATGTGTATATTTGTCTTCTTCTAGGCTCCGGGCCAAGGGCCGCGAGGTGTGGCAGCAGGGGGAGGCCGCCCTCGCCGCGTCGATCGAGCAGAGGGAGGCGCTCCAGGCGGAGGTGGAGGAGATGAAGGCGCAGGTGTCGGCCCTGGAGGACGGCCCTGGACACGGCCATGCCCGCCCTCCTCCTTCTCTTCCTCCTCCTCCTCCTCCTCCTCCTCATCATCATCATCATCATCATGATCCCTCCTCCTCCTCCCTCCTCTTCTTCCACATCCTCCTCCACCTCCTCCTCCTCATCATCAGCATCATCATCCTCATCCAAGGCCGCCGCGCGCTCAGGCCTTCGAAGGAGCAGCGGCCTTTAGTCACCGCCCTCTTGCCTTGCCCGAAGGCAGGGGGCCTCCCAGATGACACCCCGCGCGCCGCCATGCCGCTGAGGTTGTGCTCCAGAGCGCGGGCGCCGCGCACCTGCTGAGCAATCAAGACGCTCGCTGACATGAACATAGACGAGCGCATGGCAAGGGCACCTGACCACAAGCCAGATGATGATGCCGATGCTGCAGCACGGGACCCACCTGTCCGACTACGACGCGCACGAGTCCCACGCTACAGCCGCCACCCAGTCCCGACTCCAGCATCACCACCACCCCCACACCCAGTTCGTGACGGACCAGTGGATGCAGTTCTGCAGGCTAGTTCGCATTGTGAAGGGTTTCAAAATGCAGAGCCTCGATTGCCACACTGGCGAGATAAGTGTAACGCTGAGCATCAATTTCAACATCAACGGGAAGCCGATGGCGGCCCACCCTGTGAACGATTCCCAATCTACACGAGCATAGAGGGCCAGCCCACTGTGAAGGATTTCACCACGCTGACCTTGAATTGCCACCAGTGGAACAATTTCACGCTCCCCGCGGAGCTGATTGTGCAGCCCCTGTACTTGAATTTCGGCACGAACGGGCACCTGGTGACGAACGCTCTGATCTTCAATTTCCAGTCCGACGACCCACCCCTGCCTTTCCCGACGCCCCCCCGCCTGGCCTTCCCCTGCCTCTCCCGACGCCCCCTGCTCGAGCAGTGATTCCTGGAAACGGGGCGGCCCCGTCTCGTTTCCATAGCGAGCCTGCTAGCCCACCCCCACGACGCCCCGACCCCGACGTACGCCCACATCACGCCACGACGAAGCCCATCACAGTATTGGGATGGAACCCGTTTTCGCTCAAGGGAGCTCCAGGGCGTCTCGACCACATTTCCGACACATGCCGCGCCATTCAGGTCATGCTGTACGTAGGCGCCAAGATACGCCAGCGCGCCGCCGACGCCCCGCACCACCTCGAGGACAGCCTCCACCACGCATGGGTTCACTTCGGCTGGGGCCGCGGAGCCCACACGAACAGCTCAACAGGCTTCAGCATCGCAGTCTCCAAGCGCCACTCCCACAAGATCGACGTCGTCAAGGTACTGCACCCCCCGCAGCCCGACCTACGCGGCCGCGCAGGCGCCGTCGAGCTTCACCGCGGCCAGCTCCGTCTTCGACTCATTGCTGCGTACTTCCCACCACGGCCGAACGGAGCAGGTCAACGCCGACACTGGAAAGCAGGATGCCGACGACTCTGGAGTTGGGTACTGCAGACGCTTACCGACACTCCCACTCGCGTCACGCCCATCTTGTTCACGGACCTCAACCAAGGACTAGGACGACGGTCACGACAGCTCCACACCGACAACGCGATCGGCAGCTACCACGCGAGCGACGAGACCGAGTTCGGACGCTTTGTACACGACCAGCTTCTGACTCACCAGCTGACGGCCACCAACGCGCATTCCGACGTTGGCAACACCTACTATGGCCCCAACAGGTCCAGATCACGCATCGACTACTTCATCGGCGACGACAAGCTCATGGAGATCGTGAAATACGCGAAGCTGAACTGGAAGATCCACACCAAGCTACGTAGCCTACTACATGTTGCCGACCACGCCCCCATGATCATGCAGATTAAGATGCCCTTCAGCGGTGCCAACATCACGAACAACAACATTCGCTGGGACTTCGGCCTCCTCGCTGCTGGGCCCCAGACAGGCGCCCGCCGCGCTTCGTTTCTCACCGACGTCTCCGCCGAGATCGACAAATACAAGGAGGTTTTCCGCGTTGTCAAGATGGATCCGTTTCCGACTCGCCACGACGCCCTCGTCGCTCACATCATACGCGAATGCGGTCGCAAGTACTACACAAAGGAAGGAGGACAACCACAATGGTACCAACAAGCTCGACTTGAACGACTCCGCTTGCTTAAAAAACGCGCCGACTGCCGAGCCCGACGACTACCGTTCAACCATGCGACCCTACGCGAGATTCAACGCCGCCTACGAGCACACCAACGATGGATGGGTCACTGGTGGAAAGTCAGCCTCGACCAGGACATCCGCGACGCGTGGGCCACACGCGACCTCCCCCGAGCTGCGCATCTCATGTGCATCCGAGCGGGGCGACGGACGGGACCACGACGACGACCCTACCTTGCACTACCATCCACGCGCCCCACTGCAGCCGAATACGCCGACGCCCTTACTCAACCAGCCGTCCAAGGGGGACTCACTGCCACGCCAGCTTACGTCAGTAGGTACATCGACGACCCTGCAGCTATTCCACGTTTACTGGCCCAACCTAACGACATTCAACCGGTGGGGGAGCACATCGGCGCCCCTGAGATCCACGACATTGAGGCGGCAGCGGAGGAGCTCGACCATCTGCAGAAACGACTGTGGAGGGAGAAACGGAGGCGCTACAACCCACCTTGGGCATGGCCCATCGAACTCACCATCATGCTCCTCGCCCCACAGCATTTGACGCGCCCTGGTGTTCAACGCGCGGGGTTGGGACATGCCACTGCCGACTACCACTGCGCGGACCCGCTCGCCGAGCGCGTTTACCAACCCAATCGACGGAAGCTCGTGATCGACTAAGACGTCAGCTACACCATCATCCAGACATTCGTCACACTACTCGCACATGTGCACCGACGTGGTTCTCTGCCCGCTCAGGCGTTCACCAGCCAGGCGGTTGCCATCGGCCAAAAAAAAGCCCCACTGGCAATGTGATTCAGGACATTCATTCATGCGTACGTCTATTTCATTGTTTCGACCGTTCTTGGCGATTGTATCTCAGGATAGGGCTCATTCCGTATGGAACCCACTTCGATCCACCGCCGTGGGCACATGGAGGCATTCATTCCCGCCGTCGCGAATCTCTCATGCTCCTCGCTAAGCTCCTGATATGGCACATGAGATCTGCCAGAATGTCATTTCTTGCTAAGTTGTGCGGCATGCGGAACGCGTTCGCGACATGCTCCCACGAGCGACTGGTCGCCGCCCACACACTTCGATGCGAAGATGAGCATTTTCACCTCCTCCTCGAGCAGCACCGACACGAGGCTGTAGTTTTTCTGCAGGCGCCTGATGCTAGCATAGCTCTTCGACCAGGGACAGGAGGGAGGATGGGAGACTCAAACGCGCCTGAACTTTTCATGGAATATTTCTTTTTTATCCATTGGTTATGCAGTGGTCTCAGGAGATGGCCCAGGTCCAGGGAAACCCGTTTCAGGTAGACTGCCCGTTTACTGGTGAAGAGTTTGGTGCGCATCTTGGAGCTTTCATTGACGATCTAGTTAAGATCCTCTTGGTGCCAGACGGCACGGCCCTCCAGGCGCTGCAGATTGATAAGATCGACAACGACACGCTCTCCCAGGCCCTCGAGGCTGGCGGCTACGCACAGAACATCAGTGAGCAGGACACCCTGGTCTCACTGGGCACTCACGGGGCGACGAAGGAGGCCGAACGGAATATTTCTGGGAACGCGGTCCAGGACTTGATGCATCTTGGAGGATTTGTACATGTCGCTAACAGCAACCGCCGTGAAGTCGAGGCCCGCATACAGTCAGGTAAGATCGGGTGGTGTCGCTTGGGCGATTACTGGTTTTCTGGGGGTCCTTGGAAGGCCAAGCGGATCGCGGTCGTGTCCAACGTCGCTGGGAGGGTTTGGTCTGGCCTCGAAAGCTACGTGCTGACCCCCAGAGAGCTCCACCGTCTCGACAGTTCGCTGGCCCGTAAACTTCGAGCAGTGGTGAGAGGAGCTGCACATCTGGAGGATGAGCACAGCAATCATCGATCCCTTTCTACCCGGCAAGTGCTTCTCGAGTGGCAAGTTGCACCGACTTCGATCGAGCTTCTCGTGCGCAGGCTCAGTTGGTGGCAGAGCATCATCCGATTGCCCACGCATCTTGGCCACTGTCTCGCTTCTTTTTTGGGCAGATGCAAGTTCGAGCAGCAGGCGGCCATAAGTCACCGCCCCGTCAGCGCTGGCACTCTCAATTCGCAGGTGAGATCTCCGCAGGCCCGAACGTGCACCCGTGGGCCACACAGCTCGCGGACGATTTGTTGTGCCTGTCGTCTCACTCGATCGGCGAGAGCTTTCAGGAGGCGTGGCAACCTCGAGTTGTAAAAAACTTGTGGGGTGACGAGTGGGTTCGAGAGGCCTTCCTAAACTGCGATGTTCGGACTCTCAGGGCTTCCCACTGGACGACTCAGTGGGCTTCTCCCGAGGCCAGCTCGATCACCTCCTCTCTCCCCTCGGCGGCGACGTACGACGAGACGGACACCGACGACGAGACGAACCGCCCCTTCGTGTGTAACATCGAGTCGTGCCAGAAACGGTTCGGGACGCTCAAACAGCTCGTTACACATAAAACCAAATCTAAGAGCCTAGGACACGGTATGCCAGCGGTCTTGAGCACCCTACAGATCGACAGCAAATATATTGTGTGCCACACTACGTTCCCAAATCAAGATCATGAAGTCCGACATTTACGACGAGCATGGCAAGCAGGTAGATGCATTCCAGATTTTTCTCATCATGTGTACGCTTGGATTCCAGCCACATGTACTACATGCCTTTTACGGGACTACGCTCTGGACCACGCATGCCAACATGAATATCACGATTAGCAAAAACTTCGAGCACACGTCTTGGGTCATCTCCCACCGTCGCCATCGGGTTCCCTGCTCAAGCCTGTTGTCAGAAGGCCTGCCACGCGCTCGGCCACTCCGAGTGCTCCCCCGTCGCGCCCCGCGCGTTCCAGCTGCCGCCCCTCGCGTGCGATCGAAGACACCCCTGCTGTGCGCGCTGCCATTCGCCAGTCGGTGGATCACGTCGTGGGCAGCGACCTTCGCAGCAGGCCTAGCTATCGACCACTTCGGCTACGAGCAGCACAGCGCCCAGCTGCAGTATCTGCAGTACCTCCGCGGTCACTTCGAGTGGCTACCGTCTCCTCTACACCTACTCTCCCTGCGCTACCTCCTGGAGTAGAGGATGACGCCCAATCAGAGAGCGTCGTGGCGACTCCCGCTGGACTCCTCCCAGGGCTCGAAGGGCTCCGGCAACGCCTCCAGCGCCGCGCCAGGCCAGAAGGCGACAAAGGCTGCACGCCCGCCAGGCCCGCCGCCGCAACGGCGATCGCGATCACCACGAACACCAGCCGAGGATGGGGGAGTAGCTGCGCCCATCGAGGTGGACGAGGGGGACAACGGCGAGAAGAACACGAAGACCGACCAGCCCAGCCGGCGCCCAGCTCGCCGCGGAGGACGCCGCGGACGCCGCGGCACTCACAACCCCAAGGCCTGGAGCAGCAAGGACAAGAACTTGTTGGATCTGCTTCGGTCGACCCTGAAGCTGCTGCTCCAGACGACGCACAAGACCAGGCTGAACTGCAGCATCAACACGGACACCTACACGATGAGCAGCGAGCACCCAGTGATCATGGCCATCACGCAAGAGCTCGAGGGCTACAAGCACACCTTGGACTCCCTCAGGAAGAGCGGCACCCCAGAGGACAATAAACGCCTGCAGGAGATAGGGTCGCCAGCTCCGTCCCTCGCGCTCGCGGCCTTGGAGGGATTGCTCAAGTGCGACGTGGGCGGCGCCATGAAGGGTGCCATTCGGAACTACTTGCTCCGAGCGGAGCCCGAGGACATGGAGGCAGAGGCGGAGATCAGCAAGGGAGATCTTCTCGACGTCATCTCCTTCGTGCGCCTGGAGAAGTGCTACGACGACACCAAGACGAAGCTGGTGATAGGCGCGCCCTCGTGGGAGGGCCGAGTCTTGATCAGCCGCGCCCTGGGCGCCGAGGGCCAAGCGGCCCACCGCAGAGGCGTGGCCCCAGCGGGCTGGCTGGAGGGGGAGGTTGGCCACTGGTTGGAGACGCTCGAGCAGTGATTCCTGGAAACGAGGCGGCCCCGTCTCGTTTCCAGAGCGAGCCTGCTAGGCAATGCAACGCAGTGACTAGCAGAGATGATACCGTCCAGCGCCGTGTTAATTTTGTCTGAGGCGAAGGCCTCCCTGCCAGTAGTAGCACGGTCACTGTTACGTATCCTCCCTCCTCCGTTGAGCCCCCACCTTATCCTCCTGCCGTGCCAGCGCATGCAGAGGAGTTCTGCGAGGTGGAGGCCCCGCCAGATTTCGACACGATCGCCGAAGATGAAGCAGCCGAATATCTTTTCAGCCAGCTCCGGTTGATGTTGCTTGGCACGCGCTGCGCAGGAAGCCCCTCTGCGCGGCGCCCTGGCAGCCTGGCCCACGCGGGGCACTTCGAGACATTTGGCTCTCTGCGACGGATCTCCAAGTTCAGATTCACTGTACGCCATTTAGTTGTTTCGAACGTTGGTCCTGACGTCGAGGAAGATCATCCTCATCCTCATCCTCATCCTCATCCTCATCCCTCCTCCTCCTCCTTTCTCCCTCCTCCTCCTCCAATTCCTCCTCCTCCTCATCCTCATCCCTC